ATCAATTTTGAAAGATAGTTTTGTGGGGTAAATCAATCTGGGTTGGAGGTTGTTTTGTTTTAGGGCTTGAAATACTTCACTCCAAGCTCTCCTTGACTTGCGGGTTTTTGTTGAGAAGTCTGCCATGATTCTTTTTTTTTTTTTTTTCTTTTTGGTTTTTCTCCGGTACTGGGAACCGAACTCATGACCTTGTGCTTGCCAGGCAGGTGCTTTGCCGCTGAGCTAAATCCCCAGCCCCAGTCTGCCATGATTCTGATGGGCTTTCCTTTATAGGTGATTTCTTTCTTTTCTCTAACAGCTTTTAGTATTCTGTTCTTGTGTTGAATTTCTGGAAGCATGACTATTATGTGCTTTGGTGTAGTTTGTTTTTTATCGTGGCTGATTGGAATTGTATATGCCTGACTCACTGTATGCCAAATTGTTTTTTCCTGCTTGGGAAGTTTTCTGCCATTACTTCTGTGAACAGGCTGACTCCTATCAATCTTGTTACTCTCTGCATCATCTAGCAGCTGTTGGATTGATTTTTCATGGTCCCTTGTTATTTTTAAGAAATCTTTCTTTTCAAGATTGCTAACCACAATCCTGTCTTCTGTATCTGATATTCTGTCCTTGCATTGGCTCATTCTGTTGTATATACTTTCAGTGGAATTTTTAATCTGGATATCTGTTTGAATCTATTTCATGAATTCCGTTTCTTTGCTATATTGGGCATTCATGATTTCCATCATTGTCCTGGCCCCTCAATTTTTTAAAAATCTGTATCTGCTCTGTAGTTGTTGTGGGAAAGGCGCTTATTTAAGTGAGTCATGCAGAGGCCAGATGCAGAGACCAGCAAGTTTATTGGGGGCCGGTGGTGGGCACCCAGTACATGACTGAGCACTGACCCCAAAGGGCAGGAGGAGAGAATAGTTATACAGTTCTAGTTCTGGGTCTATGGGTGGTGGTGGTGCTGATATAATTTGGTGCAGCTATAGGAAGACTACCAAGCATGGGCTTAGCTTGTGACAAAGGAACAAAGGTGTTTGACATTTTACATAGGGGACAAGCAATCTTATGACAGAGCACAGGGTGGTATCAGGTTATGTAACTGACAACATTTACAAGAAACAAACTTAAGGAAACAGAAACCTAAGCTTTAAAATGTCACTAGAACACAAAATGGCATTGGTTTAGTTTTCTTTCCCATATCATAGTCACTAACCATGTCTTTCATTATGGTCACCATCTCTCTATTTATCTGAGAGATTATTTCTGATTTGAATTTTTTCTAGAGCCTCATTCATCTGCTCTGTTACTTCTGCTGTTACCACTTCAGACAATCAGATGGGTGGCTTTCAGATTGTTCCAGCTCATTGTCTCCTGGGTTTGCCTTTGGTGAGCTGGAAATATGGAATTGCTTCCTTTTTTTTTTTGTACTGGGAATTGAACTCAGGACCTTGCACTTACCAGGCAGGTGCTTGTGCTGCTGAGCTATATCCCTGGCCCTGAAATTGTTTCTTGCTTATGTGTCTTCTCTTTTTTTTTTTAGTTTAATTCCTGGGTTGATGCTTCTAAATTGCTTATAGCAGGTAACTTCATTGCTAGTATTTAGAACACTTAGGAAATGATACTTCTGAGAGAGGTCTTTCAGGTTTAGCTTTTGGGGTTTGAGTCTGTTGCAAGATCCTCTTAGTTTATAGGAGATAAAAAGTTGCTGCCTATTTGGCGTAACTCCTGGTTCTTTGGCACTGACCTGTAGTATTGTTTATGACTCTTAGACAATCTCAGTCTTGGCATACCAGGAAGAACAACTGATTAGAACAGTTATGTCCTCTTGGCTAAAGTAGTACAATCAGCAATAACAACAGCATCAAATACAGCCTAGAAAATGACAAACTATGATAAGTATTACTTTGTCACCTTTAACCATATATACTATATTTGTAGTTAAATAACAAAATCTAAAAAAACCAGAAAATTGTATACAGTAAATATGCCCTCAATATGGTAATTTTACCATCCAGAGAGAAAATTTAAAAGGGCTTGGCGGGGGGGATAGGGAAATGGAAGAAGAGGAAAAGATTAGATTAGATTATACAAACTTTAGGAAACTGGTGGAAAAAAACAGGAAGGAAAGAAGGAAAAAATAAAAACAACAGAACAACAAGAAAACTAGAAACAGTGTTCATACTCATATAAAAACAAGAACAAACACTAAAGAACAACAGAAAAAAAAAAATGTCCACATCAGGGCATGTCTGTGCTTCACTGGTGGACAGAGTGGGCAGACAGAACCCAGATCCATGTTGATTAATCCCAGCAAGCCAGTCATAGATTTTCAGCAGGGTAGTGAATAATCCTGGCAGGACCGCACCTTTAGTTCCACTGGAGTTCAGGCTGGTTTCTGGCTGTGAGGTTGTTCAACCTGCAGCATTCCATGTGCCTCCTGCTGACTTGAACTTGGCAGCCTCAGCCTGACACTAGGGGTCACTAGATGTAGCCAGCTGGAAGCTGCTCTGAGTTCCAAACTCCGCTGGCCTTTCAGCAAGAGGGCTATGAGCCAATCAGCCTCTCCTGGGGAAGGTCCAAGCCTGAATAACTTACCTGCCACTGCCGTCCACTGTGCCGTTGCTCTGTTCCATCAGTGTGTTCCTCCGTGGAGTCCTCTGAGGTTGTCAGCAGTCACCGTGTGTCTCACGTGTGAGCTGTCCCTCCCATGCAGAGTTAGGGCTCAGGGAGAAAATGCTACGTGCCACCTCCTCCGTCTGCATTGAGGTCTCTCTTCACTCCCCTTGTGGGCTTCAGTTCTCACTTCGGTTACTTGTTGGGTCCTGGAGACACACGTCCCTCCTTCTTCTTTTCCTCACATTGCTATTTTTCAGCATCTGACACTAGATCTCAGAGAGGCTGTTTCTCTGCTCTTCACCACTCCACCATCATCCCAGAAGTGAACTATAGTTTTGTGATAGAGGACTTACTTAGCATGCACAGGCCCTGGTTCAGTCCCTAGGACTGCAAAAAAGAAGAAAGTATCTGAAATACCTAGCAAGTCACTTTCTCACCTGGCAAAAGAATATTTAGAAAGCACGCAGAACACTCACTGAACAAGTCATTTCTCAAAGGCAGCGGATCACTGATATTTTGTACCATCTTGTGTCCTTAGTCTGAGACATACATTTTTGGTGAGGTTTCTGTTTCTGCCTAGGTTTGCTTCCGCACGTGGTGATTAATATTCTGCCTTCAGCATCTGACTTAACCATTGGTTTGAAAGTACAGGGTGAGGAAAGCCATGAAAGTTGCTGAGCGTAAGGCAGACTGCAGATGAAAATAGGTAACCAGGGTGCAAAGACCTTTACTGAAAGATTTTCCTCTGTATGTAATTTGCATGTTCAAACAACAAAATAAGATTGTTTATCTGCATATACCGAGGAAGCTGATCTAACTGTGGAGTTAAAACAGTGTTGTGTTCATTCTCCCTAAGAAACAGGCTTAGCTGACGCCATGGGCACTACACTCTTGTTCCTGTCTTAGATGTGCAGTCTTGAAACTTAACTTTAAAAGACTTACTCATATTAAGCAAAAGCAAACAAACCATAGCAAGGTCCCTTTGATATTTTATCCTATACCTTTCCAGATATGATTATTCTCTAAAACTCATTGTCCAAGCACTCGTCTTTTTCTTTGCTCTGATTCATTTTTGCTGGACAAATGCTGGGCAACTTCTCCAAGAAAGGAGATTTGTTTGAGTGAAGCCACAGGAGCCGTACTGTTCTTCACCTCTGTCTTCTGCCATCGAGCCAGTGCCTTACCCTCACGCTGTAGATTACAGATAGAGATGGTAGTCAGTGCAATAGCACATGCGTGTAATCCCAGCAATCTGGGAGGCTGAGGCGGGAGGATTGCAAATTTGAGCCCAGCCTGGGCAATTTAGCAGTTTAGTAAAACTCTTTCAAAATAATAAAAAGGAGTTTGGATGTAGATCAGCGTAATATACGTATTACGGGGAAATATACATATGGTGGCAAGAGCTTGCGGACTGCAGCTAGGCCCCTGCTTGTAGGACACTACTTCCATTGTTTTCCACTTGGTGTTTCTTAATTGTGCTCTGTCAGGAAGCTCCAGCCATTGGGTCTGACCTTGGAAGCAGCAGTGGCAGGACGTTGGGACCCAGAGCCAGCTTGCTTCCATGCGAGGTTAGAGGTGCTCTCTAGAGGGCCCTCCAGGTCTGCCACAGCTTGCGTTAGTTTCTGAGACAAGCTTATACAAGTGTTCACAGCTTGGGATACTGCAAGCAGTCAGTCACAGTTAAGGAAAAAGCCATGATTTATTCCTGCCCTTTAATCTAGAATATATGATCTGGGACCTCCGGGGGGCACTGGGGGCAGACAGGCGACCTAGCATGGCAGTGTTCAAGGAGAAGCTGAGCTGATGTGTTGGGGGCCTGAGGGCAGAAGGAGCCGAGGGAGCAGCAAAGCGGGAGGGCTGGGCCAGGAACTCTCACAAGTCTGGAGTTCATCCTGCCAGGTTTTAAGTTGGCAGTTATGTGATTTATTTATATATTTGGTTTATATATATATATATACATATATATAATTTTTTTATTTTTTTTGTCTTTTTTGTCTTTTTGAGACTGGGTCTTGCTATGCAGTTCAGGCTGGCCTTGAGCCCACTTTGTAGCCCAGGCTGGTCTCGAACTCACAGGGATCCTCCTGCCTCAGCCTCCTGAGTGCTGGGATTACAGGTGTGCGCCACCACGCCCAGCCTGATTTGCATTTTGTGAGATGTTCTCCAGTTGTGAATGGAGAGTAGTCTTTTAGTAAAGGTTGTCTGGTTTTAGGACAGATTGATCAGGTGGGTGACAGGATGGATTTGGGTGGCTGTAACGAGGATAGATAAGAGCAGACAAATCTGAGAGCTGTGATGACGGCACAGGGGGAGAGGACGGAACTACTGGCAAAGCTGGATACTGTGTCCTCCCCCCCCACGCAGTTCCACATGAGAGCTGGGACTCCTTACTTCTCCACTGTCACATCGGTGAGAGGCAGGCCCCTTCACGGGCCGCCTCCCTGCCCCATAGGTTGCATTAGCATTTAACACAAACACTCCTGAGCCCCTCTGAGAGAATCACAGCCTAAGGAAATTAGGTACGACCTTGGACATTAGCTTGTGCTAAAAGGCTACACTGGGCAGCGTGACCAGGACCCACCTGCCCCTGCCGCCTGTGCCGTGCCTTTGGCCAGTGGGGTAAACATGGTAAACATGCTGGTGCGATAGGAATGCCGGCAACTTCGGCAGAGATTTCCCTGGAATACGCCCTTAAATTAGGCTCCTTGAATGTTCCTTAGAAGCTCTTAGCAATAGGATTTGTGAGCAAAAGTAGAACAGATAGTTTTTGTCTTCCTCATTCTGGATATTTGAAAAGACTGTCGAGAGGAGAAAAAGGCAGTCTGTGGACATGTCCCACGACGGTGGCAAACTGAACCAAAGTATGTCCTGAGAAGAATTAGCTGAAAGGATAAAATGGCAAGAATTATTCCAAATCAAATATGGTAATGTTAAAAAGAAAAACCAAAACCGGGAGTTAGGGATGTAGCTTAGTGGTGAATCATATATTTAGCACGGATTCTATCCCTAACAGCAAGAAGAAAAAAGTGTTCCTTCTTTCTCTTCAAAAGGTATATATCTGTGTCTGTACTGGTGAGGTTTTTTTTTTTTTTTTCCCTCTGGTACCAGGAGTCGAACTCAGGACCTTGCGCTTGCCAAGGTGGTGCTTATGCCACTGAGCTATATCCCTGGCCCTGGTGAGGTGCTTGAAGACAAGTCAGGGTTCTTTCCTCCCTGTAGAGGTTAAAGAAGGGGCACACCTATTACTTTACCTCTTGTTTGGTCTGAGCAGCTGTTAGAATTTTTTTTTTTTTTTTTAGCTGTTAGAATTTTGTGGCCTGCTTTGGACTATGTCTGTTGCAAAAAATGTGCAGTTAACCTTTAATATATTCATGCCACACCAAGAGAGCAATCCTGGGTCTAAAACAGTGCTGATCTGAATAAATGAGACAAGTATCATGTCCCTCCATGGCACGATAAAATGGTGGGAGCCATTGTAGGTCTTTGAAAGGAACTAAATCCACTTTTGTCTCTCTTTTTTTTTTGAGACAGGGTCTGGCTTTGAGCTCTCTTTGTAGCCCAGGCTGGTCTCAAACTCACAAGGATCCTCCTGCCTCAGCCTCCTGAGTGCTGGGATTACAGGCGTGCACCACCACATGTGGCTAAATCCACTTTTGATATGAATTGATATGGCTGTTGTTTCCTCTGATGTAGACATGACCGTGTAGAAGTAGGGAGGATAGAATGTCATGTTCTCTCATAGGAGAACACATGAGCCACTCTGTCCAAATAGAATGTCACACCTCTCAGCTGGAGACCCCGGAGGACTGCCCAGGAGTGAGGACGGGAAGTGATTCCAGCTTACTAGGCAAGGCAGATAATCCACCCAGGAAGTTCCCTGAGCCTGCTTCGGCTCCTCTTTAACACCTGACAAGTTTCCTGTGGTTTCTGTCTTTCCAGAAGTGCGTACTGTGCCGCCTCGGTGGCCTCTCTGACGAACATCACCACTCCAGACCTCTTTGAGGGCACCGCTGAGTGGATAGCCAGGTGAGAGGAGCCGGGTTTCCCCTGGCCTGCGGCGAGCAGCTGGTCAAGATTTCACTTCAGAAAACTAAGAACATGTAAAGGGACTAGGTGGGGATAGAGGGTTGCAAGAGACACATTAGGGTTGCTTAATTGTACACTTTACAAATGCAGCTTGGGCTGGAAAAGGCGGAGCTCTGCAGTAAAGAGCCTGTGTTGGTGGTGGGAGTCGGAACAGTTTCTGCAGTTTGCAGAGCAGTTTAGCAGTAGCTCAGCGTGCGCTTGCTTGTGACCCAGTCGTTCCACCGCTGCTGACACTCATGCACATCGTGACAAAGACAAAAACCAGACTGGTGCGTGAGAGCACAGCGGTGGGGGCGCGTTCAGGTCCATGTGCACGTGGTGGGTAAGTTACAGCAGAGTCCCACTGGAATGTAAGGTAGTATTGGAGCAGGTGAACTGGAGCTATGTATCCATGTGGATAAACCTCAGAGATGGTGTTTTTGGGGAAGAAGTGCTAAAGAAAACACATCAGCATCAGCACATTTACTTAAACTTTGAAAACATGCGAAACAATTCCACATTGTTCATTTAAACAATAGGAAAACATTTATGGGGAAGAGAAACACTGAAGTCAGGACAGGGGTGACTTCAGGGGAGGAAGCAAAGGAGGTGGGATTGGGCCACCCACACGCATCAACCATATCTGCCAGCCCTTTAAAAACAAAAACAAAAACCTAATGTGTACGTCATGGTTCAATCTAAACTAGGTGTTAGATCCATGTATGTTCTCCATAGTAGTTGATAACTTTCCTGGATGCTTCAAAGATTTCATAATTTGCAGGGCTGGGTGTGGTGGTGTAGCTGTAATCCAGCACTTAGGATACGGAGGTAAGAGGATCGTGAATTTGAGACCAGCGTGGGCCACATAGTGAGTTCAAGGCCAGCCTGGGCTATAGTGAGGCCCTGTCTCAAACCGGCCCCTCCCTCAAAAAAAGAAAGGAAGGAAGGGAATGGAGGTAGGGGAGAGAGGGAGGGAGGGAGGGAAGAGAAGAGGGAAGGAGGGAGGAAGAGAGAAAAATAACAAAAGAAAAAAGGGAAGGAAGCCAGGAAAGAAAGAAAAGAGAGAGGGAGAAGCAGTAAAGAAAGGAAGGAAGGAGAGAGGAAGGGAGAAAAGGAGGAAGAAATGAACGAACAAACCAGTGAGCAGGGCTGGCGGTGTAGCTCAGTGGTAGTGTGCTTGCCTAGCATGCATGAGGTCCTGGATTTGATCCCTAGCACAAAAA